AAGGGAAGGGAAGGGAAGGGAAGGGAAGGGAAGGGAAGGGAAGGGAAGGGAAGGGAAGGGAAGGGAAGGGAAGGGAAGCTTGGAACTTCACCCCGGGACCAGGAGAGAGCTGATCCCAGAGGTTTGGGAGGTCTTAGATGGGGTCAGAGCCTGGCTGGGATGGGCGGCAGGGAGAGCAAACCGTGGTGGGTGGTTTTGCTCCACTTTCTGCTGGTTTGGTCCTGCCATGCTGGATGAAAATCAGAAATCTGGGAAGAGCTGATTTCCTTCCCGATCTGACTGCTTTGATTTGTCAAAGAACTGAGTTATTGCAAAGCTCCAGGGTGGCACAGGGGCAAGGCTGCAGCTCCAGCTGCGGGCACAGTCCTGGGCAGAGACGTTTGCAACCCGCAGCTCCCTTTTCTTCCCCTCAGAAAACACACAAATTAATCGGTTTATGTGGATTTTTTCCCCCGTTCAGCTGCAAAGTCTAAGATTTAGAGACAAGTCCTAAAGCAGAGCCTGGCAAAGCTGATCTTTCCAGATCCCATCCCAAACTCAGAGCACGCAGCACCCCAAGATCACCCCCTGGCAGCACAAATCCAGTCAGAGCAGCACAAATCCCTCCTTCACCTTGAGCTATTTTACTGCCTGCCTCCAAAACTACCTGTTTGCTGCTGCTGGGTGAGAACAAACAACCCCAAACCCACAGGGGCTGGAATTAGCCTGGCCCAGAGCAGCAGTTGTTGCTACAGCAGTGACAAAAAAGTGATTGTCTTGCAGCAGCAGGGATGGGAACCATAAACACCAGGCTGCTAAAATACCTGTGGTTAGTTCTGCGGGTGCAGCTGCTCTGCTGACACCTGATAGGCACAAACAGCATCAAACACCCCTTCCTGTCCTCCCCAGGGCTGGTGAGCAAAGCAAAAACCTTTGTGAAGCTTTATAAAGTGGGGCTTGTCCACCTTGAGGTGGCTGGGGATGGCCTGGAGCCCCTCTGGCGTGGGGCCCTGGGCACTGCTGGGCGAGCAGGGTTAGGAGGAGCTGAGTGCCAGGAACAGGAGCAGCCCAGTGGGCTCAGCACCCCCTTGCCAGGGTCACCAGGAGCTCCTGGTTCCTGTCACGAGGCTCTGAGCTGGGCCTTGCTGAGTGTCAGGGCAAGTGGCCAAAGCCCACCAAGAGCCAGCTGGCCAGGGGAGGAAGAGGATGGGCTCAGAGGGTGGAAGGAGGTTTCACTCCCTGGGGGAATATTGTCCTTCCAGAGCTGGCTGTCCCCCGAGGTGGTCACTGGCTGCTTTCCAGCCCCGCCTGCGTCCCTTTGGCTCCTCTCCCGCTGTTCCCAACCCCGCTGAGGCCCTGAGGAGGGTGAGGATGGAGGGCAGCTCCCCCCTTGCCTCTGGGGGAAGGGCAGGGGGAGCTGCTGCTGCTTCCCAGGCGCCAGAGGAACCGCAGGGACAAGGGACGCGTTGCGCAAAGGCCGGCCACGAGAAAAGCTTTGGCCGGAGAGCCCGGAGCAGCTCTGCTGGCTCCCTTCAGGAGCTGCTCCTGCAAACACCAGCTGGGCTCCCCTCTCAGCAGGGAGGGGGAGGAAGCAGCTTTCTGGGTCACGGAGTGCCAGGGTCTGCTAACGCAGGTGGCACGTCACCCTGGCCCCGTGCTAACGAGGCCACCTGTCCCCTCCTGCCCCCGTCCCTTCTGGCCCCAGCAGGGCACAGGGCTGCTCCCTCCCCAGCCTGGCTCTGGAGCTGCCCCAGGAAGGGGCTGCAGGCTCCCGCACGGGGCTAGCCAGAGCTGGAAGTGGCAACCAGTGCTGGGAGCGGGGAAGAAATTCCCTCCTGGAGCTCCAGAGTCAGCAGGGCTGGCGAGTGGCGCCCGGAGGGGATGCCAGGCGTGGGGAGGGAGGGAGGGAGGAGGATGTCACGAGGAGGCAGCTGAAGATGCAGGCTCCAGGGAAACTGGAGCAGCTCCAGCATTCCCCAAGCAGCGGCTCTTGGCAGGACTGGCAGGAACCGCGTGGGCTGGAAGCGCCCCCGGAGAAAATCCAGCGGGATGAGGCTGAGCTGCTGCAAAAGGGGGTCAGGAGGGAAGCGGGGAGCCAGCACCTACCTGAGGCACGGAGCTCCTGCATCCAGAACGAAACACCTCTGCCCCAGCACGGATCCAGCCGGGAGGCCACGGGAGGCCGGGAATTGGCTCAGGGACCCGACCACGGCCGCCGCGCTTCCCGGCCCGCTGAGCTTAATCTGGGCCCAGCTTTCCCTTTTATCCCCTGCTGCTACAACCTCCAGAGTGCCTCAATTAGGTCCATCTCTTAAGCTCCTGGGTGCATTTCTAGGAAGGGCGGCGGCGTTTCTCCGCCGTGCGCAGAGCGGGCCGTGCCTGGCACGGCTCCTGCCCGCATCCCGCTGCAGCAGCGCTGCTGGAAGCGCTCCCGGGGTGCCCCTCACCCCCTGACCACCTACCAGGTGTTTTTAAGAGCAGAGATCCCTGCTCCCCTCATCCCAGCTCCGGCAGGCTGGAAGTGCCACACTGTCCCCCCCGGCAGCCCCCCGTGTCCGTCCGCTCCAGGTCTGCCTCTGGCAAGCCAAGAGGAAGGGAAGCAGCTGGGGTGGACTTTCGAAGGAGAAGGCTGGGTGAAAATGTGGTCTAAAAGCGACAGGGAAAAAAAAAAAAATCGAGAAGGGAAATCGATAAAGCCCTCGGCGGCTCCTTGGGCACGCGGAAAGCGGCCGGGGGAAGCGAGGAGGGGGATGTGCTGCAGGACTGGGACCTGTGGAGGTGTTCGGGTCCAGCTGGGAACAGCAGATCCCAGGCAGGATGGGAGGGAAGCAGCCCAGCAGGGTTGGGCTGCTGTGGGTGCTCCAGCTCGGCTCCGGAAGATGAATTCCACCCAAAGGAGAAGCAGAGCTCACAAAGCCCAGCACATTTCCCCTCGAGGCCATTTTCCAGGCTGCACTCAGCCTCCATTAGTGTTATCCCGGCCCTCCCTGGCAGTGCCCTCCTCCAGCGGCATCTCCAGACGCTTCCCAGATCGGAGAGCAGCGATTAGGCCGGGAGCCAGGGAGGAGAGAGCCGGGCACTGCTTCCTGCATCTGCCACTGTCACCTCTCCTCGCCTGCCACTCGCTGAAGGAATTCTTGGGGGCAGGGGGCCGCCCCTCACAGCTGGGGTGGGCTCTGCACATCTGTCTGCTGCTGGTTCCAGCTGTGCCAGGTGATCTCTGAACCTGCTCCCGTGTCAGCCCCAAGAACCGGAGCTGTTACATCTCTGCTGGCTTCCCTCGGGGAGGGAACATCCCAGGAGCAGATGGGAAGAGGGAAAATGCCAGCAGCAGGCTGCTTTGCTTGCTGGATGGGGAAAAAACTCCCCCAAATCCTCGTCTGCACACACAGAGGGATGAGCTCAGGGAGAACGTGGGACCTGGCACTCCCTGGGAGCAGGGACCTCACTTGTGAGTGCCCCAAAACAGCTGGGCAGGGATTCCCTGGCTCCTGTCACCCATCTGCTTGTGGGGAGCTTTGTCACTGCTCTGGAAAATTGGGGAAATGAGAATCCCACAGCCTGGCAGAGCTGGGGGTGCCCACCTGGAGAGGAGCAGCTCCAGGGAGAGCTCAGAGCCCTGCCAGGGCCTGAAGGGGCTCCAGGAGAGCTGGAGAGGGACTGGGGACAAGGATGGAGGGATGGGACACAGGGAATGGCTCCCACTGCCAGAGGGTGCATTTAGATGGGATTTTGGGAAGGAATTCCTCCCTGGCAGGGTGGGCAGGCCCTGGCACAGGTGCCAGAGCAGCTGTGGCTGCCCCTGGATCCCTGGCAGTGCCCAAAGCCAGGCTGGGAGCAGTCTGGGATGTTGGAAGGTGTCCCTGCCATGCAATGGGATGATTTTAAGATCCTTTCCCACCCAAACCATTCAGGGATTCTTTTTTCCAAGTGCTTCAGGTCGTGTGGATGAGGTAAAAAGTTGGGAGTTAAAATATCCAAGCAGGCAAATGCCAAATCTCTAAATTTTGGTGGATAGGGAGGAAAAAAGTTAATCCTGGAAGTCATGAATTGCTAACAAACCAAGAAGAGTAAGACACATTACCAGTGCTGCCTTCCCAGCTCTCAGCAAGAAATGAATTCCCCAAGATTTCCTCCCCCTGACGTTTAAAAAGGAATTACCTTGAATTCCTGCCCCGAATCCGGCAGATTTTCAGCCAGGGAAGCAGCATTTGCTCTGGGCACCTCAGCAGGAAAGGAGAACACAGCCTTCCCTGAGCCCTGCAGCTTCCTCATTCTTCCAGGAGAGCCACGGTGGCTTCCTGGATTTATGGAATTGCTGCTTCAGTGCAAATAGGCCAGGGGAGATAAGATCTGCAGGCTTGTCCTCTTTGCTTAAAGCCAGCCTGGGCTTCTGCTGGTGGCAAAAAAATCCTCAATTGAAAGCAAAGAGAAGATTAAAAAAAGGGGAAAATAAAGCATTAAAAGCTGCTCCCCTTCCAGCAGTGTGTCCCAGGTTAGTCACAGGGAATATTCCAGCAGGTTACACACTGAGGAGACAAACTGCCTAACAGGGGGAGCAGGATTAGCCTGAATTTGCATATTTATGATCATAGCTTGAATAGGAGATGCTGTTACAAAGAACAAGAAACACATTTCCTGTGGCTCAGGAGAGCAGCAGCTCTTCTGACAACCCCACACGAGGAATCCGGCTAAGATAAAGATCTGCCTCTGGAACAATACCTTGGCTTTCACTGGGTGTTTGTACAAAATCCTCTTCCTGCAGCCCGGGTTCTTTGCATTCTGCTCCTGGGATATCTTTTCCTACAGAAACAGAGTGGAGCAGCCACTGGAATGCATTATCTCAGTCCTTTGGGGAGTTAAATACGTGTTTTCTGTCAACAAGTGAAAACATTTCCCTCTCCTGCAAGCCTGACTCAGCCCAGGGAAGGTTCTTGACTCGGTGCCAGCCTTTGGTAATCACACCTCAGCCCTGCACAGCAGGGAGATAAAAACCAAAGTGCCCAAAGCTTCCTCCAAAGCTTCCTCTCCTCCCTCCCACCTCCCCCCGTGGAACCTCACCTGGAACTCCACAGCCTGGGGGCATCCAGGCTCTATTCCCTGCTGCAAATGGGGTTTTAGCCTTGCCCCATCCCTCTCCAAGACCAAGAGTAAAATTTGGGTTTATTAACTCAAAATAGTGAGGTTCTGACAGTTCCACTTGGAAATAACCCAAGGTTGGTGGGGCTCATGGGGAAGGTGTCCCTGCCCATGGAATGAGATGATCTCCAAGTCCCTTCCAGCCCAAACTTTGCTGTGATTTTAACACTTAAGATTGGAGACATTTTGTGGATATTTGGATCTTCCTTGTAACAATATTTCTGGGCAAGAAGAGAAGGAAATCTGGAGGAATTGTTGCAGGTTGAGACTGTGTTTAACTACAGTTAGGAGAGAGGCAACAAAGAGCTCTTCCAGGCTGGTATAAAGCTGCATTGTCCAGAAAACTTCTCTTTGGAAATAAATATTAATGGGAAAGACTAGGCAAGCTGAACTAGGCTGTATCCAGGCTCCCTGATTCCATGTACTTGGATCATGTGGAAAGTGAGATCTGCTGATTAACTCCCCCCTCAAAATGCATGAAATTCAATAAAGTATTTCACTACTGTAGACTCCAACTGGAATTCAAACTCAGTAGTGTGCTTCCAGTCCTTTTTATAAATAATTTACTTTGGGTTTAACACATTCAAGCAGTAACTGCGCTTGCCAAGCCCACGGAGAGCAGGACCACCAGATCATTTGGGAATACTGCTTTAAAACTCTCTGTCATGCTAAAGCACTGCGAAACAGGTGACACATGAGCATGGAACATCCTCAGCAGATTGCATTTTACTGTGCCAAGAGAGTTACAATTCCAAACCAGGCCAGAAGAAACCATTCACCTCCCATTTGATCTACTTGCCCTTAAAATCTCTCATCTGAGGATAGGATTGATTTTTTGTTTTTTTGGAAAGGTATTTCCAGAAATCGTTAAAAAGTAACCTCACTGAAGATTAGAAAAGCTGAAGTCAAAACATTGGAATAGGAACAATGGGGACCAAGCAGAAGCAGTTCTGGTTTCCAAGGAATAGCAACATTCACTACAAGTGGGATGGTGTCCACGAGGACAGCTGGCAGCTCTTCCAGGGAATGTCACCACCAACATTCCGTGGCTTTAGGGACACAGCACCGCGCCACGGGACAGGCCACTCCTCTTTAATCAGTCAGCTTTCCACACAAGGTACTGAATATTAATTCTATTTACATTCAAAAATAGCATTTTTCTCTCTTCAGTACAGAGTGGGAATGGCCACGGGGCAGTCAGGAGGATCCCTCCTAGCACAGGTGCAGCACAGCTTTGTTGATCTCCGGGTTTGTCCAGTCGTTGCGGATGTCATCCAGGTGGTTGTCAAAATCCACCAGTGTCTCGTAGGATTTGCTGTCCAGGAGGGAGGCAGCGATGCGCTGGGCTTCGGTCCAGTCTTCACAGAAGTCACTGGGATGGAAAAGAACCAGGCATCAACTGGAATCACCACAAAAAAACTCTGAATGGAGCCTTGCTGCAGCATCCTCACACGGACAGCCTCTTTGTCCCCAAACTCTGGGGAAATCCTCACACGGACAGCCGGTTTGTCCCTAAAACTTTGGGGAAATCATCACAAGGACAGCCTGTTTGTCCCCAAACCCGTGTTTGTCCCCAAACCTGTGGGGAAATCCCACAAGGACAGCCTGTTTGTCCCCAAACCTTTGAGGAAATCCTCACAAGGAGACCTGTTTGTCCCCAAACCCATGGGGAAATCTTACAAGGACAGCCTGTTTGTCCCTAAAGCTTTGTGGAAATCCTACAAGGACAGCCTGTTTGTTCCCAGACACTGAGGAAATACTCCCAAGGACAGCCTGTTTGTCCCCAAACCCGTGTTTGGCCCCAAACCTGTGGGGAAATCCTCCCAAGGATAGCCTGTTTGTCCCCAAACCTGTGGTTGTCCCCAAACC